CACCATGCCATCAAGCTTTCCTTTAGTTAACACCTTTAGCCTTAAAACACAAACAAAAAAACCCACTCTAATGTATTTGTCACATATTCTCCCAAGAATTCCTCCTACCTCTAAGATACGATGACAGAAAAAAAGAAAGACTCCATTGCACTGGACAAAAAAAAAAAGAAAAATATTAAAACTGCGTGACTATGTGACACAAGTGGTCATTAAGTGTTCCAAATCAGAAGAGTTCAGTCTAACATTTACCTGCCAATGATCAATGTGTACACATTTCCTAGAAAATTTCTGGAAGAAGTATGACTCCCAGAGACAGGGTCCTAAATGAGGTAAGCCATTTCTGTCAAGGAGGTTGTGAATGCTTCATCACTCACAGCTTTCAAGGCTAGGTTGGACGTGGCCTTAGGCAACCTGGCCTAGTGGAAGGTGTCCCTGCCCATGGCAGGGGGTTGGAACTGGATGATCTTAAGGTCCTTTCCAATCCTAACTATTCTATGATTCTATGATTTCCATAGGGCATTTCAGGAAAGCACTCCAATTATTTCCAACTGCCATATCTACATGGTTATTCAAACACATGCAGATGAGGGAGTTTGCAGGCAAGCACGTCTCTGATCCCAGCTAGGCAAGGACTGCCAACTTTCCCATACTCCAACTGCTACACTGATTTTCAGCTACACACAGAAAAACAATACCTGTAAGAAAAAAAGTACAAAACAGAACTTGATGGGCTTTTAAACAACCTGACTTAATCATTACAGAGAAGCTTTGAGACATGTATCCTCATGTATTTGAGGCACTGCACCACTTAGTCAACCATGGCTACAAGTACATTTGGCTACTACCATAAATTCTGAATAATGCCCAGGAAACTTACAGTCAGCAAAGTATCTGAATTGGTTTTAGACATTTCTAAATAAAATATTTTCCTGAAATATATTAATATAATTATTCAGAGCTAACAAATAATAAATAGCTTGCTTGGATAATTTCTGGTGACACTTTTTAAAATCTGCATGGTCTTCCATTTAGAAGAACCATATAAATATTAATAGCTTGTCAGATAACTATGCTGCACAGGAGACATTCTAGATTTACTTAGTGTTCCATTACATTTCTCCCAGCATCTTTAGGGATGGCTAAAAAGGCAGTGGCATCCTGACTTGGCAAACCTCTGAGAATTCAAAAGATGGCAACAACACTCCCCCTAGGATGCAGAAGGAGAAGTGTTCAGTGCCTGCTGTTTGGGGAAATACCTCCAGACTAGCAGTGATAAGAAAACTGGTTAAGAAAAATAATCAACTCTCTCATAAGCATTTAGAGTAAACGGAAGACCTATAACGTGCTACTCCTTACATCACTGGGGAAAAAAAAAACAAACCAACAAACAACATTAGAAAAGAAAAGCCAGCCTTTAAAGCATTCTGATTATAGACATTTGTCAAAAACATCTCCTGAAGTATTGCTTTCATTACAGCTCCTATCTAGCTTTTGGTCATTACATGCTTCAGGAAAGTTTTTGGTTTATTTTATTTAAACCATACAACTTTTCCTACAGACTGCTCGTACAAATCACTCAGCTGGTCTGCACAGTCCCTGAAAGTGGTTGCCTGTAGCCTGCTCTTATGCTCTCACCAGAAGAAATCATGAAGAACCTATGCCAGTTGTCCTCCTCCTAATGCATTCTGCTTTGGTATTTTATATTTCTGTAAAAGATACAACATATAAGCAACATTTCTAATCCCCCCTTACTGAGGTGTATTAGGAAGGAGTAAAGCCTACTCTAGCAAAGACGACATTTGTACATAACCATCCTGAAAATATTTGTTAACCTAATGCTTTGTTTATTCAGTCTGGCAAATGCTTTTATTTTATCTTCAAGTATATTTAGTAAATGTCAGAGGTAAACATAAATCCATAGTTGGCTAACAAGCCTCCCTTATGTGTATTTCTAATTAAGCTTCTTCCTAGATACGAAGTAATGTTTAAAACAAACATTCTATAGAGAATCAAAGTAAATCGAATTATGAAGTATTTCTCTTTGTGAAACTGCATATTTATATGGGCATCACCAGCAGAGGGAAGGCGATCACAATATCCACACGCAATAATTCCTCCATGCTTTTCTTCTGGATAGGCAGAAATATTTTCTTGTCCTTTTCAATTGCATTGCAAACTTTTAAGGTCTCTTCCACAGCAGGTAATACGAGGTAGCGTGCACTCTTTATTCAGAACGCAGTTCCCAGTAAGACTTGATCTGTGTGTTTAAATGTGTGTATAAATATAAAACCAGAGATATTCACACATAAGTATTTTTAAAATTGCAATCAGACTGCTGAATGGGCAAAAAAAGACTGCAATATACTAAATAAGAGCTTCATTTTCATGTGAGGAAACATCAATTAACTGACTTCTGAACAGCCGGGTAGCTTAAAAACTTCTGCCAAGACCCTAAGCTGCTCCTTTTTCTTACTTATTACAGCCAACCCTGCCAAAAGACCATAAAAATTGATTTTATGTTTCCGGTCTCTCTCTGCTAGCTGGAAAAGCATAGATTTTTTTTTCCTGCCTTTCTGACAAACAGAACCTTCCTTTATCTCACACCTTCTCAACTACGACACTAACCAACGCTAAACATCTCCTCTCTTATATCCAATTTAAGTTACAATTAAGGCAAGAGAATGTTTCAGATTGTTAAATCAAACACTGCTTCGTACCTATGGGTTTAAAGTGCTTCTTGCCTGTCAGCGTTACAGGGAAGGCTACATCCCACTTGTGCTGCAATGGCATACTCAGCAAATTATTATTTTCCACATTTGTTCTTGGGAAGTGTTATTGCACTGTTCTGCTAGTCTGTGAGCTACCTCTTTAAATTCCAGTATCAACCCTTAAAATGGATTTCGCATCTTTTGCATCAAACATTAATAAGGCTCACTTAGGCACTCTTAATGTGAAGGAAAATTGGGCTTGTATGAAATGGCTACACTGGAACATTTCATGCTTTTGCAAGTGCAGGAGTATGATTATTTTCTACAGTATGTTATTATCTTCTGCCCCGTGGTTCTTTTTTAAATTATCTCTTCTCACTCAAGCTGCCTACACTACATTTTTAAGCTATACAGTTTCAATTTATGAATTGCACGCATGCAAATTCTGAGCAACTATACCACAAGCCAAGTAATGGACCACATTAAAGTATATCCCCTCAAATACTACTAATAGAGCTACAATTTCAAAAAGCTTCAAGAAAAAAAGATATGTATTTGACTCCTAAGACGTAAAATCAGGTCATTTGTTTCCAAAACATGCAAGCAAATACTATTCTAGACACACGTGGAATCTCCTTACACTTTTCTGAGCAGGTTTATTTAAGCATGGCAGATGTCATTTCATGTCCTCACAAAGAAAATCAGTTTGCTGCCTACTTGTCCTTGTATCAAAAAGCTCCCCCTCCCCTTTTCAGGGTCACTCCTTGAAACAATTGCTCATCTGTAACTCTAGACGTCAATCCACACAGGGAAAGGAGTCTCCTCCTGGGTCTGCAACTATCATCTTCTGTTTCTGAGGACAAAGTAACTCTCTCGGACAATAAAGCAGTTTAGACAGCACGTAACAGATTAACACAACCCGGATGGCACACTGCATAGCCGCTCAGAGGATCAATATCACCACTGCTGATTAGTAGTCTAGTTGTGGTCTACAACATGTATGTGTATCTAAAATTACTCTACTGACCTTTGTACAGAATGTATTATTTCAGAGACAGTGAAATATGATTGCACTACAGCCTTCTGCATTGAATTTACAAGGTAATAAACATAGAGATCTTTCTTCTTCACCCACAAATGGCTATTAAATAAGGAAAATCAGACATGACATCCCCCAGATAGTCAAAAGGAATGATTTATTCAGATGCTAACATCTGTCTCGAGGTTCTGGCCAAATGCTATTCTGTGCTCATTTAGGACTCCACTTGGAAAGCTTTTCAGTTACATTTACCTAGAGATTTCTCTCTACCACTTCCGATCTGACAGAAATCACTCAGCCGGGTCTGATGAATAATAGCAAAAGGCAGCTTGTATCAGAGATGACTGAATTACAGATTGTTGAAAGTGCCATAAAGGCTCATTCCAATGACTACATTTAATTTACTTCCTATACTGACTACCAGAAGCTGCTAGTCGTTTGATATCTCTATTTCAGAAGACTGGGAACAAAAGAAATATTAACATTCTTCTCCACTTCCTTACTATGCTACCTAGTAGAGTTTGATAGGCAAAATTAACTTTTAAACAGAGCGCTGATCGCCTACCCATACCCTGTGGGGGCACAGGACAAGACTATAACGTACCCAAAAATCAAAGCAAGACAAGTGGAACTAAATAAGGCGAAGAAAATAACGCCGGAGGACACATTAAACTGCATGGAAAGAAAATGGTTTAGCTCGGCAGCCTTCTTCAGTAATGCAGGAAAGGCTTTCAGTAAACCGAAGAACAGATGAGAAGATGCTGCCCTGCAGGCGGGGAGGGGCGGGTGTCAGCCTGGGACCCTGCCCAGGGCGGTGGCGGCCAGGTAAAACCCGGAGAAACAAGTTGGTCCGGCAGCCGCGCCGCGAAGGCTTCGGGCAGCGGCGGGTAAGAAGGGAGGGATCGAGGCAAGGCAGGCGGGCGGACGGACGGACGGCGCCTCGCTCCCGCAGAGGGGGTGACCGCGGAGTACGGCCGCAAAGGAGGGGGATCAGAAGGGCGGGCACCCCCTTTGTCTGAACCACACCCCCCCCCCCCCGTTATACCCCCGCCCGCCGGGAGCGCCCTGGGGGCGGGCTCCCGTCCCCCGCACCCGCGGGCAGAGCCCCGGCAGGCGGTGCCGCCGGCCGCCCCCGGAGCATGTGCTCTGCCCCCGCCCGCGCAACGGCCGCCCCCTTCCTCACAGCCCGGCGAACCCCCCTATCTCCGCCCGAGGCGATGCCGCCCGGGCGCGGCCCCAGAGCGCTGCCTTACCTCGCAACCCGGGCGGGCGCAGCCGGCTCGTCCTTCAGCCTCCCCCCGCGGCGGCACCACGCGCGCCCGGGCCCCTCCTGGGGAGAGGCTGCGGTGCCCGGTGGGGTGCGCGGCAGACGGGCTGCCCCGGGCCCCTGCGCTCGGCGGGCGGCGCGCACGACGGTAAGTTGCAGCGGCCGCCGGCGGGCTGGGGTGGGCAAGGAGCGGCGGAGACGGCACGGGGGCTGCGCGGCGCCCGGAGCGCCGCCACACTGCAGCGTCTCCAGGAATCCCTCCCGCGAGAGGCAGCCCATCACCCCCGGCCCGCCGCCCTCATTGGCTGGGGGGCGGGGAGACGGGCTCCGGCAGCCAATCGCCCGGCGCACAGCATGGGTGGAGCCGCCGCGCCGGCCTCGCCCATCCCATCCCGCGCTCGTGCGGTCCCTGTCCGCCCCGTCGGGCGGGGCCGGGCAGCGGCGGGCGGGGAGGAGGAGAAGGAGGAGGAGAAGGGGGATGATGGTAATGATGATGGGGATGATGATGATGATAAGGATGAGGGCATCCCCGCGCATGGCGGCCAGGGCTGCCTCCCGCCGCGGGGCCGCCGAGCCACAGACCCAGAGGCCGTCGGGCGGGCTGTGTGCCCCACGCCGCCAGTGCGGAGGGGAGAGGAGGGGGTACCGATCTTGGCCAGGCGCTGCCGCTGCCCCTCGCTGCTCGGTAGTGAGCGAGCGAGAGTGCGATTCGGGCCCTCCCGCTGCGGCGGGCCCATGGGCAACCGGCGCCGGGCAGTCGCGACTGAGCGGTGAGTCGTGATTGGCGTCTGTGGCTTAGGCGAGAGCAGACCTTATCGCGTGTTCAGGTAAGGACATGCAAAGGTTAACTTAATTCCCTTGATCCATCCACTCTGAACTGCCGCTTTGATTAACATTGGTCTGCAAAATGTAACTGTAACAAATTCAATTAAGGGAAGCACATTTCTTCAACTTTTAATTAGATCTACCCTATTTGTCTAATGTTTAATATGACATAAAAAGCTGCTCCAGTTCCAGAGGGAAATGGAAATAGATTTAGATGTAAGCTTAGCCTTTAAAACACAACGGACTGAAGTTCTTTGTTCCTCAGCATATATTATTGTTCCATCTATACGCTCAGAGGCACAGGAGGAAAACATCATTTTATCTGCAAAATTGTATAACTAATAGTGTGGTATTTATGTAAGAGTTTCCTATAGCCTTTAATTGGTCACAGGCAAGGGATTGAACATACAGGTTCTAGCCAAGGCTTGATGCACGGTAGTACAGGATCCTGTGGAAATAGTCATTCTGAGAAAACTTGAGAAAGTAGTAATGTATTCCATAGCCATTTAGTTGGTTTCACTTAGTACACAAGACTGAAAGTTATCTAAATTACATCCTAATGCAATAAATAGCAAATGCTGGCAGTGAAGAGCCGTGTGCCATCATTAGCAGGTAACTGGGAAAGTCAAGAAGCTCTCAGGCTCGTCCTGTAAGTGCCTTCCTATGCCTGGAACACAACATCCTCCTGCCGTTCCCCACCTGTACTTTCGTGGTGGGATTTGCCTCTAAAAATCACAGCCCTTTTCCAGTTCAGTTCAAATACACATTTGTCTGATCATGTCAGTGCTGGACATGCGTTCCTAGGTCTGTTAATCGTAATATGAGGTTTTTTCTTGTATGGGCACATTAGATCATGAAAGGGAAAAGTGAAAAGAAGAGCAGGTATTAGCTCCTGCTAAGCTACAAAAAGGAGGAGCCACCATAATTTAAACTGCATATGCAGAAGTAGTCACCAGCACCCAGATTACTCTGTATACAGATTTAAAAATGTGGCTGTTTTCTCTCTCCCAATACAATAGATATCAAGAACTGTTTTATCTAGAATCATTTATCTGGTCAGTTAAAAACCCCACACTTTTTCAGTGCTAATAGTTATGAGGACTTGATGCTGTGTTCCCAACAGCCACACAGCCAGAAGTCTGTGGGAGTCTGGCATTCGCAAGGCATGACACATCATACCCTGTCTTAGTATTTGAGCAAAGACAAGAAACATTATTTAAGCCCCGTAGCCCTCTTCTAGTGTATAGACAGCAAGGAAAAGAAATGCCATCCAGCACTAGCCCTGAAGAGTGCATCATTACTTTCTCACTCTCTGACTGTGGTAGTCCCTACATGATTATTCTGTTAGATTTAAAAAGTAAACAAAAAGAAAGGTGTGATAGGGGCTGGGATGTTGGTGGGAGAGACTTCACCGAATCTTTTTTGAGCTTGGTAGTTTGCAATGGTGAAATTGCTGCAAAAGAGTCATTACTTCTATCACACACACTTCCTTCAGTTCCTTTTGGGTCCAAAAGCTTATTCATACAGAAAGAGGTCTCCAGTCCTGTAAGCAAGTTTTATTTCAGTAATGTATCCTCAAGTAAGTGGTTAGTTACTGTCCAGTCATGATGTTAATTAAACCAAAGCAAGCTGTGAAACTTGAGGGATGACAACATGTTCTGAATGGACAAGGATGTTCTAGAAAAGCTCAGGAGCTATTTAGTGAACGCTTGAAGTGCTAGCCAAAATGCTAGCCTCTAAACACATGAAACACATATAGATCATTGTATGTATTATTATTATTGTTATGTCTTCCACAGTTGTGTTCAGGGGAGAAGAAGGTATCCTATCATAAGAAAAAGAAGAAGAAACATGCAAATCTGGAATAAATTATGTTATAAACCCAAGACCAGTTTTGGCTTGGTTTTGTAATGAGTATTTGTGCATCAGATGAGAGTTTTAAATAATGTCTGCCATTCAGAAGTTCCATCAGGAATCCCATTAAGTACAAATGAAGAACTAGAGTCTGTTATATCCTTCATATCCCTTGCTTTTAATTTAGACTTTGACTGAGTTGGAGTTACAGGAGCATCTGGGAAGAAACTGAATAAAAGAGCAAGACCAGAAATGATGCAGTGTTTGTCTTTGCTGTATTTATTTTTACTCTCCGTATACCGTGGCTTCAAGGTAAAACCTCAAGATGAGAAAGCAATATGAGCCATAAAAACTAGGTTTTGAAAGTAAAAGACTCCTGCTTGCTCCATAAAAATGGAGAAAGCCTGAGCCAACGCCAATGAGCCAAAATATTCTCGGACCTGTCCCAGCAAGTTTTACGGCATATAAAGAGCAGATAGTAGAATGACAGTCACTGAGGCAAATTCAGGAGCAACAGCAGTTGTAACACGTCAAAATCAGCCATCAGGGCTCTGGCTTTGGACCCAAGCTGCCATCAGTTTTTGTTTTCTTTTGTACCTCAGCCTTTGTGTGACCAAGTGTCACAGCTGCCACAATTAGAAGTACAAGACAGGAAATCAGGTAAATCATGAGTGTAAATCAGGGTTAGGTGAATGAGTAAATTATACTGGCAGCATACTAATTTACTTATCAGGCAGAGCCCAGAACTGTAAACTAACAGAGATTGAACTGTGACTGTCATGCTGAAATTATTCACTAGCCTTGTAATGCACAAGGTACCTATTTTAACAGAAAGATGCTTTTACTTTGTTCTTCACTGTCATGTTATTTTACTCCTATTTTTCCTTTGTGTTGGTCTTTTCTATCCTCAAGGTTTTCATTTTGAGGGTAGTCTGTATGCCTGGAGACAAAGAAACTGGCTTTTGCTTAGAGAAATGGGACAGCTTTTCAAATGAAGCTCTGATTGTATGAGTTCAAGAACACATTCCTGAAACTTAACAAATGAAATACTTGCTCTAGAGTGTTGGGTTTTTTTCCCCATTTGGTTGGGAATCCAAGGGCTGGTATGTACAGCTGAAAAGTAAAAACTAAGAACCACCCATTTTAGTTCCCTGTTTTCCCACTCTTGCTTTCCATGTAATTTCCATAATATATACTGGGTGATGATGACACTCGGTATATATGTGCACTTCTATGATGATAGAAGGCACATCCCCAGTCAGGAAGCCAAATCCACATCAGGAGAACATGAAAGACGTGAAAGCAAAGTGAGGAATCTAAGACCCAAAAGTGAGAATTAACCTTCAGTAAAATGAATAAATACTGGAGTAACTATTCAGCTGCACACAATGAAAGCATCATATGAAATAACTCTTTGAAGATAACTTTTGGAGCAATGTGTGAGATTGTGAGTTGGATTGAGGGAGCAGAGAACAAATGTTGGTGTTTTGTTCTGGTTTTAATTCTAGCTGAAAATCAAAGGGTAAAATCAAAGAACTTGTTAGTCTCCTGACTGATGTGTGTCTCAATGTGTTATTTGATTTGTTTTCCTCTGTTTGATCTGTACACATTTGCTGCTTCTTCTAAGTTGTTTAGGCAGAGATGGTCCCTTTTAATCTGCATTTGCATAGCAGCTGACACAGAATGTTCATGTTCTGTGCCCAGGGCTCTTGGACAGTGTGGCAGCATAAATGAAAATGAAAACAGAAATACTGTTTTACGAGAGACTGTTCAAATGTAATCAAACCAACCCGCATGTGCCTTGCACAGAAGTCAGCTCTGTAACACAAGGACAGACCTGAGTCAGTGTCACTCTGTGCCACTGTAGATGGTGCCCCTACTTCAGGGATTCCCTTTTGGGTTGATAGCTCTGCATCCTTAATCCTCCTCCCTGCTTTAAAAATCATTTTTCACTAAAATGGTGCACAGAGTGATACCACAGAAAAAATGCCTTTTCAGTGCAGTTAGGATGAACTGGACTAAAGTCCTCAGCTTCTTTTTAGTCAGAATCTACTACATAAAATGACAAACTACTGAACCATTAGCTTCCAGTGTGCCCAGATATTACCAGTCTCCAATCTTACTTTACAGTGGTAGACATTATGGCTTCCCCATGTAACATTTGTTATCACTGGTGAGCATATGAATCATATGGATGACTGCATAATAAAAAGAATGGGAAGTGGGATTTCTAATTTAATTTTGTGGAACTGATCTTCGCAAAGCACAGGAAGAGCTGTGTAATGGCACTGTTCCTCCTGAGGAGAGGGTAGAGACTTAAAGAGGTCTTTTCAAATGGATATGCATGATTGTCACAATGGGCATAAGAGGACATTCCATTGTCTTCAGTACAAAACAGACATGACTCCATTTGGAGATACATGAATGAATTGCCTGTTAAGTGTAAAATATGCTTGTATTTACACCAACCTGAAAATGGAGTGAATAACAAA